CCTAACCCACTTGACATTAAGACAAAAAAGTGTTTGACCTATATTATTACTTTATAGTCAGTCATAACAAACATGATTGCCTAACCCAGTTGAGATTAAGACTAAAAAGTGTTTGACCTATATTATCACTTTATAGTCAGTCATAACAAATACAGCTTGTAATGTTTATAGTCATTCGGGATTAGAAACAGCACCCTTTAATCAATAAAAAAGCTCAGTTCACAGATAACTGAACATCATAGGAAATCACAAATGCGCCTTTACCGGTCTTTTCGAATGGCTTTCCGCCCTTGCAGCACATCATGAGTTTCTGTTCTTGGTTGGTTGGATGGTTGTTGGTTTTCATCCAGTGAATGGTGATGGATTTGTGATGATCCAGCCAATTCCCTTATCTTCCCCACTGACACACAAATTTTTATTATAGCAGATATAGCCAATGACCAAGAAACTAGAACAAGTTCACCAGTCTATACAAAACAGAAATCTTATTAAATAACTTTATTAAATTTAACCTTATTAAATCTCAAACCCAATATAGTAGTTCCCCTTTATCTACAGGGGATACATTCAAAGATCCCCAGTGACTACCTGAATCCACGGATAATACTGAACCCTATATGCACTACATTTTGCCCTCTACATACATACCTATGATAAAGCTTCATTTATAAACTAGGCACAGTAAGATATTAATAAAATAGAACAATTATAGTAACATACTGTAATAAAAGTTATGTGAATGTGGTGTCTCTCTCTCTCAAAATATCTTATTGTACTGTACTCATCTGTTTTGGGACCTCAGTTGACCATGGATAACTGAAACCAAAGAAGGTGAAACCTCTGATAAGGGGAGACTAGTATATATAAATGCGATGAACGTTAATTGACAATTAGCATCCACAGCTGAGCATTTTTACTTGTCACATTTTCACGTCTAACTTTACATTTCGGCTCACAATAAAACAAAGAAATACATAAAGAGAAAAGTACTAGAAAGCAAAGGAGCACACCGGAAGCTGCCTCCTCCCCTACGTGCCCTACTCAACTGTCCTGCCACCCCCTAGAGACAGTCCTGCAGCCAAGGGAGACTTTACAGCTGAGGGCTCATCCCCCGTGACTTTCAGGACCATGCACAAAGTAGGGGTTCCATACGTATTTGTTGAGTGAATTAATAAATATCAGAATGCGGTTTTATTTTTATCGGTGTTAGAAGATCCTCAAAAGAGTCTTGTGACTTCCTGCTTGCTGATTATCGCTCTCAGTCTTTCCATAAATTAAGACTAGTTTAAAAGGCAGCCCAGTACTTACCACTAAGCAGTAATACTCATTCCATCCACAGGAGGTATAAGAATGATATCAGCAACATAATCACAATACATTAACATTTTATATTTGAGAAGCTATGTGCCGTTTATAAATTGCTTTCCCTCCGCTACCTCAATTAATCATCATGGGCATTATATAATCAATTTTACTGCTATTGCTTTCACAGCACATGAGGAAAAACGTGAACTACAGATCAATCAACATGAGTCAAGACAGAAAATTGTGAACTAAAAAGAATCTAGAAGTTGATCTTGTCCAATCTCCCGGGAACACTTGGTAGATGTTTTTCTTTCATTATAACTTGACTATTTTCTTCTACCTTAATGAAAAAGCTCTGCACATTGTCTTACTACTTCTACCTATTAGGAGAGAGAAAAAGTAAGATGACGGTACCGCCGGTTGGGAGAGCAACTAAATGTTTACTCACGGACCTGGCAGGTGCGAAGGTGGCCTTTAAACCCCATCATGAAAAGGGGAAAAAGGTGTGCGCCCTTCTAGGAAGATTCACTTAATTGGAAAACTAAGATTTTTGTGTTTAAATATCCACCCTGGCTAAACAAATTATATCTTGATCATCTTAAAGTTAAGAGAGTAAAGGATACATTCTGCATTCCCCACAACAAAACACCTAATCCAAACAGATCTTATCTTGTCTCAGGTTAGAAGCTGGTGAGAAAAAGTAGAATTGGCCCTTCCATGTCACGTTCATTCAGTTCAACAGACACAATACTGGGCCCTAACAACTCAGGAACCAAGTAAGGCACCACACCAGGTGATACATATAATTATTTAGGATTAGCAAATCACCACTATTTTCCTAAGGTGAAAGCAATAAAAACCCTGTATTAAATATTAAAGCAGTATCCCTATCCCCCCATCTTGGCTATCACTTCTAATTGAGAACATTTCTTTTTAAATTAAGAAATCAACAGCAACCTCTAAGGTCAGAGAGTTTCTTCATCTGTTTTAATATCTCAACCCTATTAAAAGGTAATCCTATTTTAAAAAATAGTTCCTCCACCTTTCTTTCCTTCCTCTTCCTTTCCACTGTCCTCCAAATAAAAAAGGTTAACTGATGATATCCAGCCCAAAGAACAATGGACAATACATAGACACACACACACACACACACACACACACACAGACCCCTCTCTTCCAGCTTCCAACAGCAACAATAAAGTTAAATACTGATTAAAAAAAGAAGTGACACATGTCATTATTCCTGTCAAATGCAGAGAAAGGGCAAAATCAGGAGTCCAACTTGGAATAAAAGGAGTATTTTTTTTTCCTGGAAGGTAAGTAAAAGAACTTGGGAATTGATTTATTTAAAAGATAAGAACCCAGACAAAGAAATTGATTTTTATTTTTCAGAAATAGGGCTTTTACTAAATAAACACCATACAAAGATTATGCATAAGCAAACAAGTCAATCTGAAAGGCAGGGGAAAAGGAATGATGTGTGGCACATCATTTTCCTCTGAAAGTTGACGAGTAAAAAATAAACCCAAAAAGGCCACCTCAAGAGGGCTGGTTTTTTGTTTTAAAGTTTTTTTGTTTGTTTGTTTCAGTCCAGTTTAATACTGAAAGATTTTCTTAAATCTTTTCACAGCAGATACCCAGCACCCTCACAAAAACCAATTTGTTCCCTTTAAGACTTTTTCTCACCTCCAAAGACGAGCCAATGATTTTTATGGGACTGTTTTGCTGCGCTTGTGAATTTCAAATGCATACAGTGACAAAATAATTATTATTCTTATATGAGAGCAAAACTAGGGTGTGTGGGGGCATGGTAAGTAAAACTAAAGACCAAGTCAAATTTAAAGCCCAGTGATTTTGACACAAAGCTTTTAGTAAATTGGCGACTAAATTAATCTGCTTTTAGGGTAATCTTGAGCCCACAAACATTCATCTACTCACCCTAGGACCACATCTATCTAAAGATTAACCTGAGTAATTAACCAGAGTTATCAATATTGTTTTCACTAAATACTTTCAAAGGCAGCTTTGTGATGCAATTTGTAAATTTAAAACACACCCAGTAAATAAAAAGATTAATAAAATGATCAACACCACCTGATTTTCTTTTAAGGCACTACTTAAGTATTCAAAATTAGCTTTCAGTGGTATAGGTAATGTCACCCTTTCCTATTTGGTAATTACCGTCAACAAACTTTGGCTTTAATTTGGGCAGACTGCAAGAACAAAACCATAGTACTGTATTTTATAAGACAAATTACAAATTAATCAGTTATTTAACTCAGAAAATAATCATTCAGACACATTTGGCAACTCTCTTAATCTACAGGGCACCTTGCATTTTAAAGAATGTTCATAATCAGATAACCCCTTTAACCAGCTACAGTAATGTGTGAATAACATTCCTTTATCACAAAGACAGAGGAAGTTACTACCATCAACAAATGAACAGCAAAACAAAATTTGAACTCAATTTTTGACTCGGCTCCATTCACAAGGTCATGCATTAACTACAATCACCACCATTCCCCACAAGATCATCAAGCTATGAAGCTTAAGGAGAAACATTTTCTTTGTGTAAACTAAAATAAGCCCAAATACACAGATAACATTACAAAAACTAGTCTTTGCCCAGCGTTTCTTAATCATGAAATTATTCACAGACTTTCTCAGCACAGCCTTAAGTGTAATTCCTAGAAGGCACTGGCAAATCTCTGCCAAGCCAATCTGCAGTCGAAAGCCGAGTGCATGTGTCCAACAAGATGACAGGAGGGTCAATGTTTCTAACCATCTACTTCAACTCTGCATGGCAATAGCGGTTCTGCGTAGCATGGTTAATATAGTAATTGCATAGGATAGAACACAGCCCATGTAAATGAGGATCCCCTTAACCACAAACAGGCAGCTATGGGGAAATATAATTTCTGGAACAAAACATGGTGCTTGCATAATTCCACAAACACATACACAAGTCACTTTTACAATGATGTTCAGTCCCAGCACTGTGCTGACACTTTTCCCACCTAAACTTCTCAGCACAAGCCTGGCCTAAAAGCACAGCTGGGATCCAATCCGTGCACAAGGCGACTGCGGCATGCACCCACGACCTAAACGGTGGGGCAATACCTGTCCCTACTCAGTCCTGTTCTGGCCAGGTTGCAATGTAGTTTAGTCCCTTCTACTTTATGGTAATGTGCTTTTAAAACCCAGCCACGACCGAGGTCATAGCTTTAGAGATCTAATAACAACCAAATGACCAGGGCTGCCGGGCACTTAGTGAACCATTCTGGTTATGGCTCTTTAATAGCACCTGGAATTCGGCTAAAGGGAGAGCAGAAAACTCTTGCTTTCCCGGAAAGAAAGTCCTCTGCCGCGAGCGCAGAGGGAAGCAAGGAAACCGACCGCGGGCAGGGGACGCCCCGCAGCGGCCGCCGCGTCTCTCAGGCAGCTCCAGCGCGACCCTCGCCCCGCAGCCCGGCTGGCCCTGGCCGCACCTTTACCTGTCAGCTCCACCACCCAGCCGCCCCGGCTGCTGCCCCTCCGAGTCCCGGGCACAGCTTCAGAGCCGGCTGCGGGAGAAAGAACCCCAAAGGCATCCCATCCCAAAGAAAGAAAGCAAAAAGGCTGTTCCTCAAGGCAGGGGGCCATCCCGCACGCCGAGACCCGAGAGGCGACACCCACCCCTGCCCCACACCTACCAGATAATCCATGTACAGAAACGCCTCAGTTATCCGGAGATCAGACATCCGGCAGCCTAAAGCATCCGGAACGACTCCGAACCCGGAAAAAAAAGCAGCGTCTCTGGCTGCGAGCGAGCAGCCCCTGAAAAAGCCAGCAACAGCGAAAATAGCCGAGAGCAGCCGAGTAGCCGAAGATTACACAAGGGGCGCGGCGATTGGCCGGGAGGGCGGGCAGAAGGAAAGGAGAGCTCTCATTGGCTGCGGTGCCTATAAAAAGCAGGCCCCTGCGGGCGGCAGGAGAGTAGCGCGGGAGCGGTAAGGCTGCCGCTTGGGTGTGCTGGGGGCGGGGGCGAGGGCGGCGCAGGCGGCGCAGGCGGCGCAGGCGGAAGAGCGAGCCGGGAGAGCGGAAAATCAGCTGGTGCTGAACTCAGATCTCTGAGGCCAGAGAGTCTTGGTGTCCCCGCCCACCCCCCAGTAGGAAGCCAGCTCTGTAACGCGGGAGGTGTGGTAGCCACTGACAATGTGTCTCTCGGAGCGCTTTCCTAAAAACTGCCTCCATGAGAGGGCACCACTGGGACGAGAAGTGTGTGGAAAGGTGGCAAGCCTGTTCACGGGATTTGAGGACTCAAAGACCTTCCACACCATCATCATTGGAATCTGCTAAGGCAGACGATTCCAACCTGATGTTCCTGAGGGTACACACTAGCCCCCTGCGCAGACAGAGGTAACTAAAGAGAGCCTCTGGGGAAAAAAACCGTTTCAGGACTTGGATGTAGTCAGTTTTACTACCCTAGACACTCGGAAAGGAGAAGTTAGTTATTTGCATGCTTTGCGCACTGAGCACGAATCCAACGCCCCTGAATCAAATAAGCAATAGAATAAGAAACTCTTTGAAAAGACCCAAATACAATATTTGTGACCTGATGTCATTTTAAGAGGTAAAAAAAAAATATCTATAAGCATTGTGCATTTCCTGGTAATGTCAATATTGCATTAAACTGGGGGGATGGAGGGAGAAGGGAAACCTGAATTGGACAGGAAGCTGGGTAAGAACACACAAGGCTTTTTTTTTTTTTTTTTTTTTAAAGATTCAGGCTAGGAACAACCAGGAGATGCCAGACGCAGCTCTCTTCTTAGGCACAGGTGATTGGAGTGTCCCACAGAGCTTAGGGAAAATGGAAGATGAGGGGCTTGCTCTCACCTGCGTTAGTAATTAGGGCTTGCATACCAAAACGTTTCAAGAGTGAAACTGTATCAACTGAAATCTTTGTGAATTGACTGCCGGGCTGTATAAATGTTTCAGGGGTTGGATTTTTATTTTCCCCCTAACTTGACATCTCTTTTTTTGTATCGCCAAGAAACAAATGTCCATACAATAAGTTTGCCTGGGACTGCCAAAACAATTCTGTTAGGTCACCATGGAACTCACCCTAAATGTGCACATAACCAGTAAGGGCATGCAGCCTCTTAGAGGGTGGCTCCAGGTTGGTGAGCCAAGTGATTCAGGACATGCTATCTAATCTCTGAACCTGTTTCCCCAGCTGCAAAACAAGAATTCCTACTGCCAGAAGGTTTTTGAAATGAAGGACTATGAATATATACACATTGTTGATCCAATTTACAGGGTGTGTTTGTAAATAATGAGAAATTGTGAAGAAATTTCAATGAGTTTTTGTCTATTCAGAGGCCAAAAAGTCTCAATTACATCAAGCCATTAGATCTAATTTTGATTTTTCTTGGCATTCTGTTAATTCAACACACGTAGATTTAGAAGAGATTTTGACTAGATTTTGGAGGTGATGGATTTCCATAAACCTACGGTCTTCCGCACAATTGAGTGAAACTAATTATGGAAATTGAAGGCCTCTCAATTAGCAGAACTAAATAGTAAAGGAGAATTTTTTTTTTTTTTTTGGTTTTGCTTTATTTTATTTTTCTTCTCTCAGTGAATAGTATTGCAAATGAGATAAAGGGCATGGGTTAGCAAAGAGACACCTTTTGATTCATTATCTTAGTGATAAGTGATGTCTTGACTACTGCGAAGTCAGACTTTTGAGAGGCCTGTCAGTTTCTATGCAGGGGAAGATAATCACTTGGAAGCAGCTGGCTTCTGTCTTTCCTTTAAAAGCTAAGCCTAAGGAAAGACAGTTCTGAACAGAAGGTCATTAGGCTAAACATGGTCCTTGCTGCCTTTAGGAATTAGTATATAGGCCTAAAGCAGGGAAATGAAAGAATTGTTCAAGGAAAAGTTCCAAAGGCTACATCATAGTACTCTGCTTATTCCACACACATTCATTACAACTGGCATCAAGGAAAACCTTGTGTTCAGTGTAATGTATTTAAAAAAAAAAAAAACCATTGCTTTTATTTATAGGGAAAAAGTACATTTATAAGGGGAAAAGTCCTTATCAAAAACCTGCAGCTTCAGAACTCCATATGGAACACATTTTTTCCAATTAGATGTTAGTCTTCTGGGACGTCAATGTGTCCACCCATGTCAGAGGAAAGAGGATAACTTGATTGTGTTGGTATAAACAGATAATACACTACCCACCACATGAAGCTGCAGTCGTAGCTGATAGAGTTGGTAGCAACAGAAGTAATCACCTCAATACATGCTTTCAAAAATAATGTAGAGAGATTAGAATGCATTTATTCAATATACCCTACTATATGCCAAGTAACAGGCTGCCATCTTGAATTAGGCATGATCTCATTAACCTAGTCCTGCCCTTGCTATCAGTAAAAAGAACAACTCCCTTCCAGATACATAAGAAAAGTGTAAACTCAGGGGGCAATTGCATTACTGCATAGGTTTTGAGGAAAGAGGCCATCAATGTCACTTGTCAAAAGCAAGAAGAAATTCTTTTGACAGTCCATACTCTACAATTCCATAAAGACTGCTGGCTAGCCAAATTTGCAGGACTGTTTTTTGTTAAAGTGTCACTTGTAGGAAACAAAAACAGAAATGCATTTTTGCAACTTGGTCTCCCAAACTCTGCCATCCAGAAAAACCAACATATTAGTGGCTATTTTCATCTACTCTTTTGTTGTGTTTGTTCATTCAATACATAACAATTTAGGGGAGAATACTGTCTTTACTAGTTTTATATCACACATATTTCATGTATAATGTAAAACTATTGTATTAATATAAATGTACTGTTAACTAATCCTTTATTAGATACTGTTATTATAAATATTGCAGTGAATTTTTGCTTATAAAACTATCTACATCTCATTATCCTAAGAATAATTTCTAGAAATCGAATTACTGGTACATAGAGTATGAATACTTTTAGTACTCATTTTTGCATTAACTTCTAGTCTTCTTCCTTCTACCTGCAACTCCAAAGGAGGGAGTGATTACCTTGCCTCATCTGTGCCTTGATTGAGCATATTATTCCTTAATAGCTGAGAGATGGTATCCTTTATTAGAACTCGTAAATCATGGACACTGCTTTTTCAGAAAAAGTGATGTCCAGACACTGAATTCTACAGAAATCATGAAAACACGTTGCTCACTTACCACTTCCAATAACTCCAGTGACTTTAAAATTCTCTTCTGAATCCTGTCACCCTTTTTTCCCAGGTGGTTACCTTGGCCCCCACCTCTGATTTACCGAGTTCTCTTCTCTGCTTCCTAAACTGAAACACGCCATCACTATGTCCCATAAGATAAACCTCACCAGAGCTGGGTGCCCCCACATGAAACTGCTAACAGAACTTGATTCATACATGTAAGAGGTTAAAATGAGGTTAGAGGTTAGAATTAGAATAGAATTTTCCAGCCAGGCGCGGTGGCTCACGCCTGTAATCCTAGCACTCTGGGAGGCCAGAGGCGGGAGGATCACTTGAGGTCAGGAGTTTGAGACCACCCTGAGCAAGAGCTCAGTAGAGACCCTGTCTCTACTAAAAATAGAAAGAAATTATCTGGACAACTAAAAATATATAGAAAAAATTAGCTGGGCATGGTGGCACATGCCTATAGTCCCAGCTACTGGGGAGGCTGAGGCAGGAGAATCGCTTGAGCCCACGAGTTTGAGGTTGCTGTAGCTAGGATGATGCCATGGAGCTCTAGCCCAGGCAACAGAGCAAGACTCTGTGTCAAAAAAAAAAAAAGAATCATCTCAGTATATTTTTAAAAAGCATTAGAAAAATTAAATATCCATTGGTATTAGTTTGCTAGGGCTACCATAACAAAATACTACAGACTAGGGGGCTTAGACAACAAAAATTTATCTTCCCACAGTTCTGGAAACTAGAAGTTTGAGATCAAGGTGCTGACAGTTTTGGTTTCTCTTGAGTCCTCTCTCCTTGGCTTGCAGATGGGCACTTTCTAGCTGTGTTCACAGGTGATCTTTTTCGCTGTAGGTCCAAATTTCCTCTTCTTAAAAGGATACTAGTCATATTGGATTAGGGCCCACCCTAACAGCCTCATTTTAATTTAATTACCTCTTTTAAGGCCCTATCTCCAAATTCATTTGCATTCTAAGGTACTGGGGGGTTAGAGCTTCAACATATGAATTTGAGGTGGGGACACAATTTAATCCAAAACAGCATTCATGGGTGGCAATCTAAGAATAAAAGGGAATTAAGTCAAATTGATGAAGGATATTTATAAAAAGCTTATAGCAAACATATTCAATTGTGCAACATTTAAGAGTGTGGGCTTTAAAGTCAGAAACAACACAAGGGTGCCAGCTATCACGGCCTCTGTTCTACATTGTACTGGAGGTCCTGGACAGCATAATCAGACACAAAATATAAACAATAAAAAATGGAAAGAAAAAAAAAATGCATCTGCAGATTGTGGTTGTGTATGTAAAACCAATCTGCATTATCAATTATTAAAATTAAATCTTGCTATTCCTTAAAAAATCAATATAAAATTAATTATATTTCCAGTTACTTATCAACAAACTTCGGAAATGTTTTAATGTGTTTTTTTTAAATGTTCTTTAGAAACTTTAAAAAGCACCTAGGAATAATTCTTACAACTACAAGACTTTGAGAGAAATTAAAAACCTAAAAACAGAGAGAGATACTATGATCATAGATGGAAAGATGCTGTAGAGATGTGAATTCTTCCCAACTTGACTTACAGATTTAAAACGAACAATAACATTCAAAGCCACAGAGCACATTGTGTAGAAACATTTCTTAACTACCATTA